ATTTGTTGATAAGATTATTTCTTTGCTATTGAATTGTCTTGTCACTTTGTCAAAAATCAATTGATTATGGACAGATAGGCTTATTTTGGAACTCATTTCTATTTTCCATTGAACTCAATCTCTGTCCTTATGCCAGTACCACAATGTTTGGTTACTGCCCTTTGTGCTAAGTTTTGAAATTAGAAAATACCAATCTTGCAACTTTGATCATCTTTTGCAAAATTGTTTTAGCTATTCATAATCCCTTGCACGTTCTTACTTTTTTTTTTTCCATAAAATATGGGCTGGGCGTGGAGCCCAATGTGGGGCTTGAACTGGAACTCAGGACCCTGAGGTCAAGACCTGAGCTGAGGTCAAGAGTCGGATGTTTAACCAACTGAGCCACCCAGGCGCCCCATCCCTTGCAATTCAATGTGAATTTTAGGATCAGCTTGTCTGTTTCTGCAAAATAAAGCCACTAAAATCTCGATACAGATTATACTGAATCTATAGATAAATTTGGGGATTAGTCAAATCTTAACACATTATGTCTTCCATTCCAGTAACACAGGGTATCTTTCCATTTATTAAGATTCTCTAATATTTTATAGTTTTTAGTGTAAAAGTTTTATATTTCTTTGGTAAAATTTATTCCTAAGTAATTATTTTCATGCTATTGTAAGTGGAATTTTTTTCTTGATTTCATGTTTGGATTGTTCATTATTGCAAGTGTGTAGAAATACACATGATTTTTGTGTGTTGACCTTGTATCTTATAACTTTGCTGAACTTGTTTATTAGGTCAAATAGCATATTGCTTATTGGATCTAATAATTCCGTAGTTTCCAGTATATATAAAATCACATCTTCTGTAAATAGGGATAGTTACACTTCATTTCTAATCTGGTAATTTCTTAGTTTGCCTTTTGTTTATTTTTCTTGCCTAAGGCCTTTGCTAGGCCTTCAGTACAATGTTAAGTAGAAGTGTCTGGAGTCTGGAGTGTATATCCTTGTCTTGTTTCTGATGTTAAAGTTTTAGTCTCTTGCAAAAATTATGATGTTAGCACAGATGCCCCTTATCAGGTTGAGGATGTTACTTTCTGTTTTTAGTTTGTTGAGTATTTTTATCAAGAAAGTATGTTTAATCTTGACATTGTTTCTCTGCATCATGTGGGTTTATTCTTTTCCTTTTTTATTTTAAAATGGTGTAGTAAATGGATTGCTGTTGTATGTTGAACCACCTTGAGATAAATTCCACTTGGTCCTTAGTGCATAATCCTTTTAAAATGCTGTTAGTTTCTGTTTACTGTTATTTTATTGAAGAGTGTTACATCTATATTTATAGGGCTATGTAGTTTTCTTCTATTGTCTTTATCTGGCTTTGGACACTGGTTACTCAATCTTTTATGTTACCAGACGGAGGATAACTGTTATATTTTAATCATCTTTTTATCCCCAGAGCCTAGCAGTCTGGTACATAGTAATAGTGTAAATTAAGTATAATGCTTACTGAGAAAATTTGGTATAAAATAATGGCATATGGGAGAATATTAGGTGATTTGTATGTATAAATTTCATAGTACTTGGAAAGTCTATATTTTCTACCTTGAATTATGATGATTACTGAATATCTCTATATCATTTTTAAAAATTGAATACAACAGTCAAAATTTTCATTCTGATATCTAAAATGATTATAGAAAGCCATTATGTCAGTAATGAGAATTTCAGCATAATTCAGCATGTTGATAGCTGATATGTTCTCAGACACTATGGAAAGCAGTGAATTAATGTTCCTTTCTAGAAGATACAGCCATTAATAAAATGTTCATTGTCAGTTAAAATATGTCAAAGAACATTTTGATTATTTATGAAATGTCTTTAAGAAAATACCTTTTCTGTGAATTGCTTAGTACATTGTACTCTATGCTTTTTTAATAGCACATCAATACTTTTTTGATTTATGTCCTTATTCAGGACTATAGTTATTGAATTATCAAAGTTGATCATTGAAATGGTTCATATTCATCTCTAATTTGTAATTAATTAGGTGAAAGAATACATTCTCAGTTTTACTTAATGGATCTAGGTTAATATGCTTTGCTCAGACTAATTCTAAATAGCTTTTTGACCTTTTTGTTTCTAAGTTTCCTCAATTCTAAACTGAAGAGATTAGTTAATAATAGATAATGTCAAAAGAGAAAAAACGTAAATTAGTATTTGGTTAGTTAAGTTTGGAAAATGCTGGTTTTAGTAAAGTTCAACATATTTCCTTCTGGGTTTGTCTGAGGTTTAATATGTTAATGTATGTTGTTAATGTCCGTAGTTTGACCATATTTGCCTATTTTATATGAGCTTCTTAAATACTGCTGGCCTGAAAGTGAAACGTATGCATCCCAAGAACTGCCTGAGATGATCCACTATGATATGGAAAGATGTCAGAATATCTATTTCTATTTACATATTTTTAATCTTGAAAAGTAAGAGAAAAATTATGTTAATCCTTAGCACATGGGTTGATGCTTTTTGCCCTCCCTAGGTCCTTATATGAAACAGTCACAGGTTTTTTGTGAGATAACCTGATGTGAATGGGAGATCCAAAGTGATGAGTTGATAGTGATGCCCTTACTTGTTTCCTTGTTTTTACTGTAATATAGTACATAACTTGCTTAACCAGGTAATTGGACTGTTATGTAATTTAGTTTTTACTCAAACAACTCTCATAGAAATGGAAAAGTGTCTTCAGAAAGATTGTTGCCATAAGCCATAGATTGATAATTATACCAACAAAAATCCATATTTATAACAAGTACCCTTGATGATTTTTCTGTACTGAGGCAATTTTGGGAAATAGTGATTTAGCCACACTAAAGTATATAAAGGGATATACCAGAAAGGGAATTTAGATGTTAATAATAAAATAGAACCTGTTAAGTCAGTAAAGTATAATAAATGAGGGGAGATGATGAATGAGCAAGTGGAAGCAGTAAATGGACAAAAATTATTGGCATTATCTTTTATCCTAAATATAGCTGAAGTTTAATTTTCTCTCAAAGTCCATTGGGGTGAGGATGCAGTCATTCCCTGCAGTCACTCAGGATTTCAAGCTGGCAGAGGCTGTGCCCTCCGCAGAATCTGGCTTTCGTTGTCACCTTGGGCATTGCCATCCAGCAAGCAAGTAGGGGAAGAAAAGGAGTTTGTGGAAGGTTTTTTGTGATTCAAGCCTGAAATGGTGTATATCACTTCTCCCAGGTTGATATTCCTAAAATAAATCCCACTTGATTGAGGGGTTATTCTATATATATATTGCTACACTCAGTTAGCTAATACTTTGTTTAGAATTTGTTTCTATACTTACAAAAGAGTGGTTCATAATTTTTTCTGCTTTTAAATATCTTTGCAGAGTTAAGTATAAGGGATATGCTGTCCTAATAAAATATGTAGGGAAGTACTCCCTCATTTCCTATTCTGTGGAAGAGTTTGTGTAAGATTTCTCTTACTTCTTTCTTAAATGTTTATTAAAATCACCTGTTAAGTCATCAAGACTTCAAAATTCCTTGGTCAGAGGTTGTTGGGTTTTTTTTTAATGATAAATTCAGTTTTTCTTACACAAATAGGACTATGAAGATTTTTTATTTCATCTTTTTAAAGTTTGATAAGTTGTGCTTTTTCTTAGGAGTTTTTTTATTTTATCTAAAATTTCATTTTTAGGTGTATTTATATCTTAATGGGTTTTTTTTTTTTTTAGAAATAGCTGTAGGTTAATGTAATATCCTAATTCATGTATGATGTAAATTTGCATTTTTCATTTTTCTCAATTATTTTATTTTTATCATCTTACTACATTTCATTTGTGTCTTATTTTGGATTATTTTTTAAAGATTGTTTTGTTACATGTCTATTTAATCTTTTTACTCTGTCTCATGTCATTTTAGATTTGTTTTTTGTATTTTCCATAGTTTTATTCCTCTTTTCACTCAAATCTCTTCCCCCCCCCACTAACTTTTGGTTCTCTAATTCTGCTTCCTGCTTCATTTCATCTACTGTTTACCTCATCTGTTGAGTTATTAATAGTGCCTATTTCTCAGCTGTAAAATTTCTATCTCATGAATTCCAGTTCTCTGATGAAAATCCGTATCCTATCCATTTTCTTCATTTCTCCTCTACTTTGTATTTTTTTTAAGATTTATTTACTTATTTTAGAAAGAGAGAGAGTATGAGCAGGAGGGGCAGAGGGAGAGGGAAAGGGAGAGAGCATCCTAAGCTGACTCTGCACTGAGTGCGGAGCCCGACCTGGGGCTTGATCTCATGACACAGAGATCACAACCTGAGCTGAAACCAAAAGTCAGATGCTTAACCGACTGTGCCCCTGAATCGTAACATATTTTAAACTCTTTGATAACTAATATCTAAATCATCCATGAGCCTATTTCTTTTGTGTTTTCTGTTTTCTGTGTTTTTGGTCTCCTCTGTTGTCAGCTCTGATACTTTTGTATTGAAACCTGTACAGAGTATTTGAAAAATTAGAAAGGCTCTGTAAGATGTTAACATTCTCCAAAGAAAGTTCATCCATTCCTTTGCTAGGAAGATAGAATGAGGGGTTGGTCACCTTAATCCAGCCGTTCTCCAACTTTGTTAGGATATTAAACTATTGGTATGTGTATATTACTGGAGAAGTAATAAAAAATATATAGAGGCCCAGGCTTATTGCAGTAACACAGTCCCTCCTGGCTCTTGATCCAGGTGCAGAATTGCCATATGCCTCAAGAGGTAACACCACTGTTTTGTGTTATCTCACCTCTCAGTATGGTTTTCCTTGCAGTTATGTTTTCCTGTCTTTTTTCATTGCTTCAGTCCTCCCTAATGCTTTTAAACAGAACTTTATTTTTTTCTCATTGCCTTTAGCTGCAGCATTAGTGTGCCATAAACCACTCAATCATTCATGGATACAAGAAGTCAGTGGTTTTATTTTGTAAACAAAAGAACAAACCATGGTTTAAGTTTTTTGTTTTTGTTTTTCAGGAAAAACATAAACAAGAATTGGAAGACATGAGGAAAGCTGGTCATGAAGCTCTCAGCATTATTGTGGATGAATATAAGGTAGAGGTTTGGGAGTCTGCTTTCTCTATTAAACTGTGGCATACTTTAGAAAAAGTTTACACACATTGGCATATGCAAACGTATGCAAATTATAGAATGACAGTAGTCTTATTTTAGTATAGAATTCTTTTCAATTGACCGATAAGTGTTTGTTGAAAACATACTCGATAGATTACAAAGGTAATGCTAGATGTTGCTCTGCATTGGAGAAGTTGTAGAATGTTTAATAATCTGCAGCTGAAGAAGTTCAAGAACAAAATTCTATAGAATTAATTGCTAGATTAGCTTTTATCTTTACTGTGGTTCTACCTCTTTTAGAAAAAAAAAGGCATGATATACGCATCTGAAAAATATTGTGGGTAAAGGGTAAGATTAAGAAAAAAATTTGTTATGAATATTGTTATAGAAATCATGATACATGTCAATATGAGGGACATACACAGCATTATTCTCTGATTCGATGCCTGCATAAGCTTAATCATTTAAAGCAAACTGAGGACTGGTATGTTGCAAGCTTTCAAGATAGCCTTAATTTTAAAAAGTTGGTCCATTAATTGTATCTGATGGATGTAATTTTGCTTTCTAGTTCACTTTGTGTCAAGAGCCAATACTGTGAACCTAATTTTCCCTTATTGGTGGGTAATAACTGAAAATAAAGATTTTATTTTCATGCTCAAAAGAAAAGTCCTTTTCCCCCTGAATTTCATGTTAGATCTTTTTTTTCCCACAAATAATAGAGGAATACATTCTTTTTGAAATTAAATTCAAACAATTCTCCCCAGAGGTAACCATTAGCAGTTTGACACGTGAGCCCTTCTATAGGATTTTCTCCATATTTGCATATGCATATATGCTAATACCATATTGTATAATTTTTTGACTTGTATTTACAGAAAATGTTATTCCACTCAATCTATTCTTTTGTTTCTTTCTGTATTTATTCAATATGACTTGTATTTTATTTATTTATTTAAGACTTTATTTATTTGACCGATAGAGACATAGCAAGAGAGGGAACACAAGCAGGGGGAGTGGGAGGGGGAGAAACAGGCTTCCTGCTGAGCAGGGAGCCTGATATGGGGCTCGATTTCAGGACCCCGGGACCATGACTTGAGCTGAAGGCAGATGCTTAATGACTGAGCCACCCAGGCACCCCAACTTGTATTTTTAGTATCAGTATGTATGAACTTATTTTTTGTTCTATAGTATTCCACAGTATATATATGTATGTATATGTACATACATACACACACACACACACACATACACACACGCCATAACTGGTTTAACTGTACCTGTATAGTTAAGCATTTAGTTTGTTTTTGGTTGTTCATTACTACAGTAAATTTTTTTAGTTAAATCCTTCTACCACATGTAGAATACAAAAATTTCTTATTGTTGATTAAATGCCATCCTTCGACTTGGTAGAAATTAATGTCATTTTAGTTAGCTAATAATTTAATGTCAAAAAGCTTCTTGTGACAAGTCATTTGGATAAAAGTAGAAAAAGAAGTAGATCCAGAATTAATTTAACAAAAAGTACTTTTTTATTTTTTTTTAAACCCAAGGTAGTCTAGTAGATATGTGTTGGAACATGTAAGGTCATTTTTGTGACCACACCCAATATAGAAACCTGTGCCATTGTCGAGATGGTCATTAAAAAAATACCAAGATTTTGCAGCTGTGATTATTGGCTCTTTTTATAATATTGTGAATTTTTAGTTCTACTAATATAAACCAGCTTTACAGTTATTGAATTGGGTAAAAGTATAGGATCTATTTTGAACTATCATCTTTTTTTTCCCCTAGGCTAAGGGTGGGAAGAATTAAAAAGCTGGAATTTATATAATTCTCCTGGTGCATTAAGTGATATATTCTTGGGTAAATTTGTATTTTACTTATTTTTATTTATGAATTCTAAATTAAATGTTTTAAAAGCATTTACATTGTGTTTGAACTTGTATTTTTCTGAACAGCTCAATGTTTGATATTTTAAATCCTTTTTTGATTCTAGCTCCACATATTTCATTTGCTGAAAACATGTTTATTGTATATTGCTTTCAATACTGACAGTTAATGAGTTTAAAAGCGTAAGTGAGAATTTTGCAAATACATTTTACAAATTGTAATTTGGAGAAACTTGGTTGAGAGCTACTCATTTCACCTCTTCTTTGTCTAGTATCATTATTTGATGTCCATTTGGAGAGGATTTAAAAGTTTCAAGCATTAGGTATCATGATTTGCTTAAGAGGATTAGGAATCAAGTCAAGTTAGCCTACAAAGTTATATTTAATTTGTTGTATACTTATTGTCAGTTTATATATAAACTTAGATAAACTTTTGTCGCAGGGGACTTTGGTGTAAATAATTTCATATAGCTTTCCATATTGATTCATTGATGAGCTTCATATTTTGTACAATGATGTTATTGTACTGTGAGAAGGAATAAGATCTGATACTTTAATTATCACATAACATTTTACAACCAATGTGTTCTGAAAACATATGGAGAATCAACTTCAAAGTAATATAGGAAGAAATAAAGTAATTCAGATAGGAAAAATAGGCAATGTTTTCCTCATAGGTTAGATGTCTTTATAATGTAAGTGTTGATTTGTGACCCATTATGGAACAGGAAAAGAAACAATATAGTTTTTTTTCCATTCGAAATTCAAGCATGAGAAGGTCATGTGATAATTATTGTATTATGTGTCTCTTTTTTAGACAGTAACTTTTTGTTGATACCTTTTAAAGCTTCATTTTGTTAAATTATATAAACATTTTGATGGATGATTCATTCATCATTAGATAACTCAAAAACAAATGAAAATACAACTTCTAATTACTATTACTAAGAGAAGTTGTATGAACATTTTCTTTGATTTATTCTTTCCTTAATTCAAGAAACATTGACTTCCTTCTTTATGCCAGGGACTGTTGTGGATACAGCACTGAAGAAGATAGACAGATCTTTGGTCCAATGGAATATATATTACACACCCACCCATGCACATGCACAGACCATATATAGGTAGTATATAGTCACCAAAAACCATAGCTTCCCTTGATGCTTTGACTTTAACCTCTCCTTGCTATGCAGGTATTTACTCAAATATGCAGCTGGACTAGAGAAATCTGTACCTTTTCACTACCATCCCTGACTTTTAGGGATCTTATATTCTTCTGCTTGGTTATCCTGGACTAGATGTGATAAGTCATTTTTCTCCAAGTTGAGTTGAGACATTGTTGAAGAATTTGGAAAAAAAATTCATTAGGAAAGATAGTGAAAAATACAAATGAAGTAAAACAAAAATGATAAAAGCCTAAAAATTAATGTAGAAGAAGATGCATTATTTTTACATTAAACTTTCTTTCCAGAAATGTAAAGTAGACTTTTCCCCCCCTATTCTTCCTACTACTATACAGCTAAAAAAATCCTTGGACATTATGTATAAAACAGACAAAATCCTGAAAGAAGAAGACAGACTGCCTAGGGACTCTGGGATCCAGGTAACTACATGACTGACACTGGATTCCCTGGATTTTCTTTTTCCCTCATTTGCCCAGATTCGGTGCTGGAGAAGTGAGCAAGCCAGAAATACCAAATGGGCACAGAAAACAAATCCCAAGAAAAGGCTACTGTCTCTGTCCAAAAGACCAGGAAAGCCTCTGGGTAGCAAGACAGTAAACTCAGATAATAACCATTTCCACTCCCACCAAATACCATAGAACTAAATGTGGCCCCACCCTCCAGCCCTGCCAACAAAGGCTTGGCAGGATTGTAGACTTTCACGAAACCTCCCCAGGCTATAGTGAGATAGCTTTCCTCTTCTCCATTGGGAGGTTTCAAAGAAGGCTGACTGGGAAACATGGACTTTCAGCCCCACTGGGCAGTAAATCCGCTCCTCCCTAAGTGTCAGGGTAGGCTATGTAGGAAGCCTAGACTTCCACCCCACCCTGACACTTCCTCTGCTATCAAGGTATCAACAGATGTTTAATGGAAAGTCAGGGCTTTCATTATTGCTCAGTGGTAGTAAGGTCAGCCCTCTAAGTGTCAGTGAAGGTTATCTGGGGAACAATAAGGTGGCACCCTTGCTTCTCTCAGCCAGAGTGACATCAGTGAAGGCTTTGTGTGAAGCTGAACTCCCAACCATGTCCAGCAATAATGAGGAGATTCTTCTTCCCCCTGCCCTGAGGATAGTGGAGAATGAATCAGGAACCTGGACTTACTAGTACCTGGCTGTTCCCTTCTTGGAGTAGTGTCTTATCAGAGGAAGTCTGCCTAAAGCAAGATTGAAAATACCCAAATTTCAATTGAAAATAGTTCTCATACAAAGAACCAAGAAAATCTCATCTTGAGTGAAAAAAATAAGGAACAGAACCTAACACTGAGCTGACACCAATGTTAGAATTATGTGACAAGGATTTTAAAAGTGTCCCTCATAAAAATGCTTTAACAAGCAATTATGAACATGCTTTGAAGCAAATGAAAAAAATAGAAAGTCCCAGCAAGAGAATAGAAAGTCTTAGCAAAGAAATAGATTATATAAAGAAAGAACCAAATGAAAATTTTAGAACTTAAAAATACAATACGAAAAAAAAATTCAGTGTATGGGCTCAATGTCATAATGGAGAAACGGGAAATAATCAATGAACTTGGAAAATAGAATAGAAGTCACCCAGTTTGAACAATAGAGAGAAACTAGACTAAAAACAAATAAGCAAGGATTTAGGGACCTGTGGGATTATAACAAAAAATCTAAAATTCATGTCATCAGAGTCCTGGAAAAAGAGGAGAAAGTGGACAGAGCTGAAAAATATATTCAAAGAAATACTAGATGAAATTTTCCCAAATTTGGCCAAAGAAGTAAAACTATATAATCAAGAAGCTGAGTGAACTCTTAAACAGGATTAAGCAAAATAATAATAATACCAAAATCAAATAAAAACCACCAAGACCCACTGTGATGGTTAATTTTATGTGTTAACTTGGTTGGGGC